AAAAAAAAAAAAAAAAAGGAAGATGGAAGATGGAAGACGATGACAGAAGGAACGAGGACGGAAGCGTAAAACATGAAACTTAGAGCATGCAAAACCGGCATCGCAACATGAGTCCCTGACCGAAGGATCGAAGAACAAAACGGGAAAGAGTTAAAACGTTTAAAAATATAATGTGTGCATTTTCATTCCCAGATGCAGTGCTATAAAATTTTTCCAACAAGAAGTTTCACGAGTAGACTTTTTCACCACTTCACAGTGTGGCCGATTTTCACATAATGTGTACACCGAAATTATGCACCTGTCTGTAAGGGCAGGAATACGTCACCCACGTGTGAATATATGCCATTGTTGCTCTTTCACACACTGTTGCATAGGTAAGCTGGTGCGAACATGTCCTTCCAGGGTGGTTCTCCTTTAGTGGTATATGTTAATGTGCATTTTATTTTTTTCCCTTAGCCTGTCATATGTGTATTTCATTTTTTTTTTTTTTTTTTTTTCGTAACGCTTATGTGAGGTGTGCCACAATGGAACAGCAGATCTGGGAGCAAATCCAAATTGTATATTCACTTTTCTTAAGATTGGACCTCATTTTTTTTCTGCATCTTCGCATTTTGTTAAATATGCTACGATGCTTTAATCTGCTTGTTGTGCTTTTGTAATCTCTACACAAAAAAAAAAAAAAAAGTATTCCCCTTTCCGCATTACAATAATGCAAATAAAAAAAAAAAAAAAAAAAAAAAATCGGCTTGTGTACATGTTCTTACGGTGCTCGGTCAGGTTAGTATTAATTGCATCCAACATTTAACCTCTTCAAATTTGTTATTTTAAAAAGAGGGGAAGTTTTCACTATATAATATGTGGCACGCTTATAGAGGCTAACATCTTGTCCCCTTTGTACATGTTCTTTAATTTTACAAAAGGGAAAGAAAAGTAGCTAGCACAGTTACTGCAAGATATAAAAAAAAAAAAAAATCAGCCACATGGGGAAAATTACCATTTAGGGTTATACGTACAAATAGTTTTGCAATACAACATAAGTTTGTGAAGGCTAAGAAGAAAAAAAAAAGGAACTCCCTCTATAGCACATATTTAGCGTCGTTCCTGTGAAATATTCGCCGATTATACAGCGTTACATGGAGGACACAAAAAGATGCGTTCATTGCTTAAGCTCCATGTGCCGCGAAAAAGAAAAAGAAAAATAAATCGCCCAGCGGAGAGCATCACTTTGCACTGCACCACAAATCTGCCAACAGCAGAACAAGCAACACACGTGTGGTACGCGTTACCCACATGAAGATGTAATTGTGTAAAAGATCTCTCTAACAAATACCTCCCTCAGGGAAAAAAAAATAAAAAAAGATCAAATGAAAAAACTAATAAACTTGCTTTTACCCTATTGCACCCACAACAATGTCTTAACTCCACATTTGACTCTAAAAAAAAAGGCGGCGTTTTTTTTCTTTTATTTTGACCGCTACATTTATTCTCCCCTGCTGCACACACTACTGAGCGGAAAAAATGTGATAGAGAAAAACCGAATAAAAAAAATCAGCACCAATGGCGTAGCAGACGAGTTCGGTTTGGCATGCCAAAGCAGTCACGATGTAGACAATCGAACTGGTAAAAATGGAGAACATACACATGACGACAAGCTCGAGGAGACGAACGCCATATGGCCACAAGGAATATCCTACGTGACACCCCTAGAAATAAAAAAAAAAGAACAATTGCAAAATAAAAAATTCAACGTTATATACATTGGACACATGAGTATCTTAATTCAAATGGCCAATTTTAATATTTTAGTAGATCCAGTATTGTCTAACCGAATTGGTCTCTTCAACCTAGTGGGTGTGAAAAGAACAGTAAAGGCAGGAATAAGTTTCGAGCATCTACCAAGTATTGACTTCATCCTGCTCAGCAACAACCGATTTGATACGATGGACAAAAGTACACTCAAAAAAATTGTACTCAGAGATAACAGCATAGTTATTGGTGGTATGAACATTCGAAGATATTTATTTAAAAGAAATTTCCCTGTGGTGTATCCCCTAAATTGGTTTAACAAATTAGAATTTGAAAATTTATCCTTTTACTATTTACCCACCTTAACAAATAGTCATCGGTATATTGTGGACAAAAATGTTTACCTTCCAGGGTCCTTCTTAATACATGATAATAAAACGAAGGCAACCATTTTTTATAGTGGGCATTCTGCGTATTCGAATCATTTTTTGCAGATCAAAAGTTTTGTTAACACTATTTTAAAAAAGGAAACCATCGATTTGTCCATCTTACCCATTGGCATTTACAAGCCCAGTGCATTATATGCCCACTTTCACATGTCCCCTGAGCAGGCCATACAGGTGAGTAGTAATTCTCGCCCGTCCCTATCCAGCATGACTCTCACCACATGCGCATTCCACGTGTAAAATGGGCATGTAAAATGCGTACACACACACGTATATATATGTGTTCATATTTTCCCCTTATTATTTCACCTCCCCGTAGAGTCACCTCGATTTAAAGAGCAAAGCTGCGCTGGGCGTGGGCATGGACGTTTTCTGCTTAGGCGGGGAAAAGTACAACGAAGCTACCACGGAGTTGTGGAATCGCTTGGCTATGTACGAAAGTGAACGGAAGGAAAAAATTAACTTTGTTACATTACAGCCGGGGCACAGCATCACCTTATGAGACCCAAACGTTCACGCGGAGGAAAAGAAGTTGTAGAAGAAGATGTAGCAGATATTGTAGTAGAGGCAGAAGTAACTGAGCATGTGCACATAATGCCTAAACGTGTAAAGGTATATAAATGGGGATCACCCATTTCAGGGCGCCACCTTAAAATGAATCCAACAAGTTGGACAACTGCGCAAATGTAGAAGCTCCAGGATGGAACGTGTGAGCAGGTATCCTCCATTTTCAGCTATTCATATGCCGTGGCCAAGGCCTTAAAGCATAATTTCTTTCTCTTGTTGTACTCCTTTTCCTTTCCAATTATATCACTATTCATTTTCTGCAAATTTTCCTTTACCCTCTGTAATAAAAAAAGGGAGAGTAGGAAGTTGCGCGTCATACGCATGAGTACATATGCGTGGACCTGCCCCAGTAGAGCACTTGTGAAAAAATGATGCCCAGCATGTTGTGCCTGTCGAAGCATGCGTTTACAACACGTATGAATACATACCTTGATAATTGCTTGGCTCTTTTGTAACAATTCGTTGGATGATAAGATGAACTTCCCCTCCTCATGCAGCTTCAGCACTTCATTTTTGTTTACGCCAATTTTCTTCAAGGACTCAGTTAAAGCCTATTTTGGAGGAAACATGTGTATATATGTGTGTTGTGATGAGGGTGACCATGCGCATATGCGGTGTGGGGTAATACACGTTGAGGAATCCCACACGTCAGCTCCGTGACGCAAATCGTTACATTTATCTCCTTGGTCAACATGCTTATATCTTTCTCCATAATGGTTATCATGTTCTTTTTTTTCTTTTCATATTTTTTGTGAAATTCGTGCCTCCTACATTTTTGTTTCTGCATTGAAAATTTTTTTTTTTTTTTGTATCTTTGTGTTTTGTCATTTTTGCACGTTAGCAACTTGACACAAAATTATGGTGGCGCGTCTGTTTAGTCCACCACTTTTGCCGTTTCTCATTTGGCCCATTTGGGGCATCTCTAATTTTACGGCACGCACCTCGACCAGCGCTTTAATGTCGCTGTCTATTTCTTTGAGAGCATCGGAAAAGCCCTGCTTTAGGGCCTTTTTAAAAATTTCTTTTTTTTCGTTATGGCGGGAAATAATTTTCTGGATGATAACTTCGGTGTCGCTATCCCTTTCCTGGGCGTTCTTTCTTTTCATGTGGGTCTGCACAGAGGAAAGGGGGCGACGATTTGGGGGAAAAGGTTCGGAGGATCATGTAGATGATTTATTCATTGTGTCCTCATGCCCGCCCAATCTTGGCACACACCCAATAGGTCACGACAGGACAATAATTCCACCCATTAAAAAGGAAGAAGCAGCCAATTTTTTTTTTTTTTCCATTTATTTGCTGGCGCACCTGCGAGTTTTTTGCCCCCAAATTGTAATGCCCAAGAGGACTTTCACTGTCCGTTTTTTTCTTCACATCCCTTTCAGTTTTGTACCCCTTAATATAATTTTTCTCATCTGACGACATCTCATATTTTATTTTGTCATCCTTTGTCTCTTTTTTTTTTGTTTTTTTCTTTTTCTTCATATTCTTCTCTGGTTCATGAAATAGTGGTAGCATGCATGCGTGAAAAGTGCCCATAACATTTAGGGTTCGTTTCCATCCTTGAGAGGAATCTGCCTGGGGTACAACACTATACCAGTTTTGTACCCCCCCCTCGGTGGGTCTTAAATCTGCGCACTTTGTTCCCTCTAACCTTCACCTTTTGACGCTTTTCCTCCTTTCCTCGAACCATGTCTAGCCTGTTTGTCGCTGAAAGGGTTAATCAATTTTTTAGTGCGGCTTTCCTCTAGGGGAAAATTATCAACATGACGTATGCACATTTGGTATGATGTGTTATCAGGAGCCCCTTGCAATATATATATATATATATATATATATTTATTCCCCTTCATTTGCACAGACGCCCGTACAGCCGTATACAGTTGGCGCTTCAATGGAACGTTCCTCTCTATACCTTATGTCCTGGTCCGTGTTAGATGAATTGGATAAGAATAGCTGGTCGTCTAGTTTTTCCTTTGCGTCGTTTTCCTAAAATGGAAAAAGAGAGATAAAGAGAAAGGAAGGTTTATGTCTTCACTTTAGGCTTCTCGTTTCGCTTTATAATTATTATTATCATCCGTCTTCTATCCCTTTGTGGCATTACGCTAGAAAGAGTTGTTGCATCACTGTCGTCCTTCTTTTCCTTATCATGACGACTCTTCTGGTGATCTTCCCTCTTGCTGTTTTTCGATTCTTTTTTTAGTTTCACAGAAATTCTTATGTGGGCAGCAAGGTGAATAAAAAAGGAGTAGAAGATTTTTTCACACATAGGATTATTTTGGTGCACACTCATGCGTATATCTACCTCTGCATGCTCGATCAGTTTGTGATTTTTTCTTGTTTTTTTTTTTTTTCTTGTGTAGCTTTCTTACTTGTCTAGGAACCTCCTCACGTCCTTCGAATTTTTCTTGATGTCTAGCGATAGGCTGAACTTGTTGACGCTTTCGTAGTCAACGGCGTCCCTTATGTCTTGCCCCCTGAACGGTTAAGCGGTGAAGAAGTTACCCGGGTGAAGTGGTTGCCCGGTGACGCTGTGGGGAGGTGGGCAAAGGGTCGATCAGCGAACTGCCATTACCACAGGTTGAATATGTTCGTCTGGTCTATGATAGCTTTGCAGTCCAGGGTGAATACATTTTTGCCCTCAAAGTGCACTGAAGTGATGTGGTAGTACGGGACCTCTATTTTGCATTTTTCATCTTCTTCGGGGTTGTCCTGAGGTAGCGAACACGGAGGGAAAATACGCTCATGTGCATGAATATATGCACAGGTATACATGAGCGTGCGTACTTATGCGGGTACGCTATATCTCTGGTGCGTTGGGCCTCTTCCGCTATGTTCTGCTTGGCGGTTTTGGGGCAGTACGTAGTACAAAAATATGGAGCACTTCCCCAAGTAGCAGAGGATGAAGTCTTTGTTCACGCATTTTTCATTTCCCCTTATGGTGAAGTGTCCTAAGTGGTAAGGGTGGGCAAAATGGATGGAACGTAAAATGCGAGGAGCGCACAAAAAATGTGTAATTTTGTGTGAAGGCAATCTGGGGATAATCCAAACTAGAGCCCAAGTGTGGGAAACACTCTCCCCCCCCTGAACCCTGAAAGAACAAACGTCTTAACCATCTTCAATGACGATCTTTCTGTCCATGTAGTTTTCCTCCTTGAGCCAATTTATGCATTCCTCATCGAATTTAAAAATCTTAAAATGTTTCAACTTTTCTAACGTGTTTATATTTGCATGCAACCCTTTGATGTTGAATGTTGCAAAGTCGATCCTTCTGAAGGACCTCCACACAAATTCTGTATAACAGACCTTCAGCTCCAGATCATTTTCAACTTTTATCGTTTCGAAAATTTGCTTTGTTAGGGTTAATCTGACGAACAGAAAAGGGAGGAAATAAGTTGTGTAGACGTGGTTCGTGGAGAGGAAGGACTGGAACGTGATTGTCCCATGTGAACGCGTACGCACGGGACGTAGGATGGTACATGTACATGCAAGGAGGCAGATCAACCCAACAAACGATTCGCTTTGTACTGCTGTATCACAATTCACGTGTGGTGGGGACGTCTAGATCCATCCATGTTACGTGACATGTCACACGTGGGGGTGGGGGCACATTTTCTGGAAGGCCTTTACACACCAACAGAAACGCACATATGTACTTTATGGGTCGCCGCCCCCGAAATCATCTTACAGCTCTGTAGTGAAGGACGACTCTACTTTCCTCCGGAAAGACGAACTGCTACAGTTTAGAAAAGAGCTTAATACGGAGCAGAGGTGGCGCCGCAAAAAACTGAAGCTAAAAAAGTACTTCAGGTTATCACTTTCATAATTGGTGTACGCAATTAATTTGTTGAAAATAAATTCGCAAAATTTGATGGAGGTCCTTAAGTCCACATCGATGTTTTTCTTCTCTTCAATGGTGTTTTCAAGTATTACTACGAGACAGGGAAATGAGAGAGGAAGCAGATTTGCATTTGAACCAAGTGTGTGATTATAGTCTAGCCTTATCGTGGGTTCATACATATAAATACACAGAAGCTTGTACACCTGAATGTGTTCACATGTAATGACTACATGTGTTCATTTTCTTCAATACAAGAGGCGATGCATTGCGTAGAGGCAAAACAAAAATGAAAGTATGCCTCAAGCTAGCACAGGGCACACAACCATAATGAAAAAATTACTCATTTTGTCCACCACTTCCCATACTACGGACGATAAAAAAAAATCATTGTATTTTTCGAAGAAGTATTCTAATATTTCTATTAGGGCCTTTAAATGCTGACTGTTTATGTTTTCTATCATAGGGGGAGAGAGAAAAAAAAAAAGGAGAATGAAGCCTTTGTCTAGTTAGGACACAAGCGGGGAATTGCATGTCTACATGTTCATGTGCGTACACGTACGCAATAGCCTTACCCTCATGCTCGCATAGATTTTTTAATTTTTTCGTTTTTAACAAAATGGTGTCTTTGTTCAGCATATTCATTTTTACAAACAGTGGGGGTCATTGTTTGGCAAAACAAATAAATAGCAATGGGGTACTTTAATGATTCATATTACACATGGGATATGTCCCTCTTCATTCTGAACGCAAAGTTGGTTTGTTTTTAAAAGGGGGATAAGTTTTTTTTAAGTGCGTTCATTTACGCGGAAATGTGGAGAAGCTCCTTTTTTTTCCTTCCGTCCAACTGGGAAGTCTGTCGAACAAGTGTGTGGGAAGCGCAAAAAAAATAACAGAAAAAAGAAAAATATATAGTGCGCAAAGCCACACAAAATAAAATCACCTAAGTGCCGACAGAAACAAACAGTTGTTCACCACGTACCAATCGTTGTAGGTACACTTTTCGATGTCTTTTTTTTTTTTTTTTTTTTTT